TAAACATATTACATCTCCCACTTTTAGGGAGATAGCTTATCTACTTAGGTCTTCCTAACACCTTGGAGGTCGTGACACATATAAAGAAGCCAGAGGTCTCTTTATGAGGCTATCAAACATTCTTGAAACATCTGTCCCTGTACTTAAACAGGAATAAGATATTTAAAACAAAGTAAACTCAAAATGGTCAACAAGATTCAGTAGGTTAGAGGAGTTGGCCACAGATCAGATGGCAAGCCTCTTCCCACTATACACCAAGACAATTACATGGCATATACAGCAACAAAGTTAGATTAGCTGAACTTACCTCTGTCCCAAACAACTTTTTAAAAGTTATGAATAACAATGAGTCTAAATAGAAAGATTTATCATAGATATAATGCAACATACCCTAAAGGAAAAAGGACTGAGAGTTTTTTCATTGCCTCAGAAAGTCCTGCTATTTTAACCTGAGAATAAGACTTTTTTTTTTTTTGTCTCTGAACATGCTGCCTCAAAGAAAGGCCATAGTTGCTTCCATGTAGAACCAGAAGTTCATTTTAGCTAGCCCTGCCTGCTGTCTGTCTCAGGGCTGTGACATCACTGTAGAGAATTCTTTTTGTTAAGTTTTATCTTATTTAATGTATTTAATGCATATGGGTGTTTTATCTTATTTAATATATATGGGTGTTTGCTTCCTGGCATCTGTACCATACCTGCAAAGGCCAGAATAGGGTAGCAGATACTTTGGAACTGGAGTTAAAGAGATAAGATATCATGGCTTTTGGGAATGGAACCTGTGCCCTCTGTAACAACATCCGGGGCCTTGACTGCTAAGTGGTATAAAAGTTCTTTCTGTTTGTGTGTTGCCTTCATTAGTTAATGAATAAAGAAACTGCCTTGGCCTAGTTGATAGGGCAGAACTTAGGTAGGCGGAGAAGAAAGAACTGAATGCTGGGAGGAAGAAAGGTAGAGTAGGAGAGAGACACCATGGATTCTCCACCTGAGACAGAAGCTGGTTAGAATATTTGCCGGTAAGCACTGCCATATGGTAATATACAGATTAATAGAAATGTGTTAAATTAAAATACGTAACACTTAGCTAATAAGAAGTTAGAGCTAACGAGCCAAGCACTGATTTAATGAATACAATTTCTGTGTGGTTATTTTGGGACTAACATAGCTGGATGACTGGGACAAACAAGCAGGCCCTCACCCTTGCAACAACTGGTGCCAATATGATGGACGAAACCCACTTAAAATCTGAGAGCCCTTAATTTTAAACACACACACACATACACACACACACAAAAAAAAACAACCCCAGAGTTTAACACAGCATTCTGCTGTTTGCTGGCAGCATGCTACAGTTCCTTTAGGAGAGATTTTTCTGACTCAGCAGCAGCAGAAAAAAAAAAAGCCATGCTATTTTAAAATGCTGGCTTTCTGGGCCACTGCTGGTGGGAACTTTGACTCTTTCAGGCAGGAGGTCCAGCTACTGAGCATTTGAGTTTAGTTTGTGTGCAGTATTCTGCTTGCTTGATGGCAAGTGGACTCCCTGTATGCCTGGAAGTGGGGCTGTGTATGCAGCTCAGAGGCACAAGTGGCTCTGCCATGCTGGACTGTGCAGAGCGAGCAGGAACTACTGTATTTATCATCATAATAGCATAGCTTAAGTTTTAGACTGGGAAGGAAAACAGGTAGTACTGCACTACCCCTACTAATGGCACAACTTAAGTTTTTAAGAAGCACATAGCATTTTAAGAAGTGCTCCTGGACAGTAGAGAATGACATTCACAATAGGACAGATTCAGACATAAAAGATCTCTAAATGGGTCACAGTGTTGGATATATAAGTACATAGGCTTGGGAGAAAGAAGTAAAAGAGTAAAGGGTAAAGTCTTTAAAGAGACAGAGTACAGATAGTCATAGATTAAAAGAGTAAAGAAAAATAAGCCACATAAAAATGAAAAATTCACCAGGCAGTGGTGGCACATGCCTTTAATACCAGCACTTGGGAGGCAGAGGCAGGCAGATCTCTGTGAGTTCGAGGCCAGCCTGGTCTACAAGAGCTATTTCCAGGATAAGCTCCAAAGCCACAGAGAAACCCTATCTTGAAAAACCAAAAAAAAAAAAAAAAAAAAGAAAGAAAAAAAAAGAAAAAAAAAAGGAAAATTCACAGTCTGGATTCTGTGTATTATTTTGTTTTCTTTGAATTTTTTGACTGTGAAGGAGCTAAGTACAGAGAGATATTTCATTGTATGGGCTGCTAAGCTAAACCAGCATGTATATTATAAAGGTATCTTGACTTCAGATTTTGGGTCTAATAACATGTTACTTGGGAAAAGTGGTTCTTCTTTTGTTTTCGCAGAAGATGAGAACCCGTGGATTGCCTCCAGACGAATATGGTTTCATGGACCAAGATCTCCTGAAAGGTTGTCATAAACACCCTCAAAAAATTTCTTCACCCAACTGCTGACTGAGATGAACCTAGCACACAGGATACACCATGAAACACCTGATTGATTAATAGTGACCCCCAATCAGCAGGAAGCAGTATGGACAAAACTATACCCATGTTCCCAAATATTGTTTATAAATGTTCTTTCACATTTAAAGAGGGATATGATATAGATATGAATAATTAGTATGCATCTTGGTTTACTGATAAAATTCAAGGTCAATTTTGTTATATGTATTCCTGCTCTTGATTAAGGTATTGTGTTTGTGTAGTTCATTTAAAAATGTAATATATAATTAAGAAATATGTTAATAGATAATCATCTATAATAGTCAAGCTTGTAGTCATGTTAGGTTTTCTAGATATATAAATATTTCAGTTAGATATTCTTCAAATCTTTCAGAGGCCTTCAGAATATGGCATTTAAAATGTTTAAGAATTTAGGACTTTTCATGACAATGAGACACATCTGCCCCTCTACTTAAGAGGAAGATAGGCATCGAAGTGACTCCTTAGCCATTTGGGGAAGAAACTGCTCTTGCCTGGACTGTTTCATTGGACATTCAGTGACCACAGAAAGGTGACTGCTGAACTTGCCTAAAGGTGAGATGGTCCTTTGGGGTTCCTGCTTTATGAGAATCTGCCATATATTCTGCAGGATACAGAAGTGACTGAAAACTGCCAATATAGGCGGAACTGTCTTTGAAATTTCCTGCTTCATGGAAAAGTCTGCTGGATACTATGGGCCTGTAGGCTGAAGATGGATGCCCTAATGCTACAGAAGAACTTTGGGTGAGTGTCCAGGCAGTGAGATGTCTGTCATTTCTAGAGTTTTAGAAGTTGTTTACAATGCACTTCCTGTTTACTTAGGTAATATCATATCCTTCTGAGGTCTTTGATGGAGTTGAAGAATTTAGTTATAGTTTTCCTCAGTTATGATAAAAAGATAAAATAGATATAAATATTGTAACTGTAGTTTTTGCCTGATACCTGTTTTGTTTTATGTAATTTTACTATGTTAAAGCCTTCCTTTTTGTTTAAACAGAAAAGGGGAAATGGTGTAGGAGGTCCTTCTGTTTGTGTGTTGCTTTCATTGCTTAATAAAGAAACTGCCTTAGCCTAGTTGAAAGGGCAGAACTTAGGTAGGCAGGAAAGACAGAACTGAATGTTGGGAGGAAAAGAGGTAGATTAGGAGAGAGACACCATGGATCTTCTGCCTGAGACAGATGCCAGTTAGAATCTTTGCCAGTAGCTGCTCTATGTGGCAATATACAGATTAATAGAAATCTGTTAAATTAATATGTAAGATTTAGCCAATAAGAAGTTAGAGCTAATGGGCCAAGCAGTGATTTAATGAATACAATTTCTGTATGGTTATTTTGGGGCTAATATAGCAGGGCAAACAAACAGGCCCTCACTCTTGCAACAGGTAAGCTAACTCTCTAGGCACCTACTTCATTTAAAATTTATTTTCACACATTCAAATTTATTTAAAATGTATTTTCATACATTTAAATTAAAATGTAGTACATCAGTTTTCCCCTTCCTTGTCTTTTCTCCATCCCTTCCCAAATTCTTCCCTTCCAGTTCTTTCCGTTAAGCATGTGTGAATATGTATGCACAAATATATAAATAAAACCTTTTGAGTCCATTTCTGTTGGTTGTGTGTATATGGTTTCAGGGCTGAACACATTGTATTGAGTATGTAATTAGGGAGCTCATCCCTGCCTGAAGCTAATTCTCCCAACTGTAGGAGAATTCCACTCTTTAATGAAGAACAAGAGTCTGACCCTAAGACTCTTAAGACAGGAAATATTATCAAGAACAGAAAATATGCTAATAATTGCTGGTGCCATGGCCCTAAAGTTCTGGAGCTATATGGACATTGTCCTGAGCCAATCAATCTTCCTTGTTTCTGTGATTGTCCCATCACACCCATTGACCATTCTCATCCTGGATGACTTTGAAACCCTGAAATTCCTACCTCCACTTTGTAAGTACCATGGTCTCTGTCACCATGCCTGGCTTAGGCAGTTTCAACATCAGTTAGTGGGGCATCAGAATGATGGAATGAGTAACATGAGCAAAAATCTGCTTACCTCTATGAGTCTGGGTTTCACCTACTGCAGAATAAGGACAGAAATCTTCCCAGCTCCTTTGATGAGTTATAACAGACTCAATCATAAAGAAAAATAATATTTCTCACAGTTGGAAGCCAGTGGACTTTAAGGCAGGAAGGCTGCATTTGATAAGAACCTTCTTCTGCTACTGTAGTTAGGACCACAGCCTGTACGCTGTCTACCCTAACCAGACAGGCTCAGCCACTCATCCTCAATTAAATGAACCAAGTTATCCAGTGAGCACATGCCCACCTATAATGCAGATACTCTGGAAGCAGTGAACAGATCTCTCTGATGTCCTAGAACAGCCTGGTCTATAATGTGAGTTCCAGGTCAGACAGGAAGTCACAGTAATACTATTCTTAAAAGAAAAAAACAGAGAAAACGAATATGAAAGGGACAAAAGCAAAATAAATAAAATTTAAAACATGGTATTTATTTAAGTTGACAAATTTGGAACAATAAAGTGAAATAGGGATAGGTGATGAACAAAAGCCATGGAGGAAATATAAGGACCACAAAATAACTTCAGCAAATGGATTTGCCACACATATAGCACACTTTAATATCTATCTGCAAGATAGAAGCCATAATGTGATCTTCACATCATCTATAGTGAACTGGTTAATAATGTACTTACTTCAAGGCTATACTGAAAAAGAGATAAAACTTTTTTCTTCAAACTGAAGGCAGCTGTTTTTACCAAATCATTTACATGAATAGGGTTTTTCTCTTGTATGTGTTCCTCCCTATTTCCTGATATCAGAAAGCTTTAAAATATTTATAGGGCTACAGACATAACTGAGTCCTTGATACAAGTTCATTCCCAGGAACAAGGTCCATTTTTAAGAACTTCCAGTAATTCCTACTACAAGAAGCTCCAAGGTTCTAACCTTTTTGGGAAACAGAAAGCACGTGCTCATACCCACACAAAGGCACACATCATTAAAATTAAAACAAATCTTTAAATTAATTTTCACTCATGAATACTTTCTTCTTAATATAGTTGTTGAGGCATCTAAAGGCGTATAGAGTTTTTCTCCATCATGAATTGGTTCATGAAAAAGAAAGTAAGCACATATACCTGAGGTGAGAGAAATCAATTAGTCTCAGTCTGCAGTATCATTTGGGAAGACTTAGGAAATGCTGTCCCAGTGGAAAAAATATGTCCCTGCAGGTTGGCCTGAGAATTTATACCTGCACACCATTTCCAGTTTACACTTTCTGCTTTGTGCTGTAGGTTAAGAATGGGAATCCTTAGCTTCCTACATTAGCTGCCATGTATAACACTTCTTTCCAAGTCATTTTCATGGCAATCCTGTATTGCTCTGGAATCAATGGCCAAATCAAACCCTTTTGTAAGTTCACTTAGATATGGTATTTTATCACAGCAACAGAAAAGGAACGAATACACATCTATGAAGTTTTCACCCGGATATACCATCTCATGTCAATGAGAAGTATGAAATCTAAAAGGGTTAGCTTATCATCTCAATTCATCTGCCTTTTGTCCACGTTTGTTTACAGCTGTAAATAGAATCAAGAGGGGCATCATAATGCTTGAACAGACTTGATGCTTGCCTGTTTTTTTTTTTTCTCTCCAGAATAAATGATCGTCTGTAACTGAACATAAGTATGTTGGCTGAAGATCTTACTAAATGATTTATATTCAGATACTCTTTGCTATTAATTTTTTCAAATTCTCAAAGTTTACTGTTATATTCAAAGGCTTTCATAGACCTATTACACACTAAGACTTTACTCGTATAAAAACTACCATAACTTGCAAAACTTTGCTACACTGACTACATTTAAGCTTCTTTACAGTATGATTTTTGCTTATGTTTTCGAAGACTACCGAAATACACAAAGGCTTTACCACATTGATTACACTCATAGGGTTTTTCTCCAGTGTGTGTTCTTTGATGTACTTGGAGATTATATTGACATGCAAAGGCTTTACCACATTGATTACATTCATAGGGTTTCTCTCCAGTATGTGTTCTTTGATGTACTTGAAGATTCTTATGATATCCAAAGGCTTTACCACATTGATTACACTCATAGGGTTTCTCTCCAGTATGTGTTCTTTTATGGTTTTGGAGATGACTGTGATGTGCAAAGGCTTTACCACATTGATTACACTCATAGGGTTTCTCTCCAGTATGTGTTCTTTTATGCGTTTGGAGATGACTGTGTTGTGCAAAGGCTTTACCACATTGATTACACTCATAGGGTTTCTCTCCAGTGTGTGTTCTTTTATGCATTTGGAGATGACTGATTTGTGAAAAGGCTTTACCACATTGATTACATTCATAAGGTTTCTCTCCAGTATGTGTTCTTTTATGCATTTGGAGATGACTGTGACGTGAAAAGGCTTTACCACATTGATTACACTCATAGGGTTTCTCTCCAGGATGTGTTCTTTTATGCATTTGGAGATCACTGTGACGTGAAAAGGCTTTACCACATAGATTACACTCATAGGGTTTCTCTCCAGGATGTGTTCTTTTATGTACTTGAAGATTACTGTGACATGCAAAGGCTTTACCACATTGATTATATTCATAGGTTTTCTCTCCGCTATGTGTTCTTTTATATGTTTGGAGATGACTGTGATGTGCAAAGACTTTACCACCGTGATTGCATTCAGAAAGTTTTTCTCCAATATGACTTCTTTCATGCCTGCAAGGATAATGGGTACATGTAAAAGTTTTACGACTTGCACTGTCGTAAAGTATCTTTATATCTGTATCAGTTCATTTTACAATCGGTCTAATTTTAAAGAGTAATCAGGTCATAAGCTTTTATGACTTTGTTTACACTTATGTTGTTCCCCTTCAGTAAGGAATGTTTTATATATTTGAAGATGCCAGTGATGGTAAGAGCCTTTACTACCTGGCTCCCATTTATGGTATCTTTTATCTCTATGAGATATTTCACATATTTGAAGAGAACTGGGAGAATTCACACCTTAAAACCACTTACTTCATTTGATAAATTTTCCTATATTGTGAGTCATACTACATTTTCAAAGTGAACCAGAACAAACAGAAGTATTTACATATTTTTAGCACTCATAGGGCTTTTATTCAGTATGGATTGGTTGATGTATCCCCTCAATAAAGCAGGAAAATTAATTACTTGTAAACGTGAATCACATTCAACAAGTTTACTCAGCATGGGAACCTATATATATTCTAATTATTCTGAGACAGAGAGAGGTACATGGCTTCTATTCACATCCTATGCTCATATGGCTTATATCCATAGTAACATATACTATACCTATTAATGGAAGAATAACAAAAAGATTTTACATTGAATTTACAGTTTGACTTTCTCTTCCTCATAAACATATGGTACATGGATTATGGTTTCTCTACAACTCCCCTCAACCACCCCCCCTTAAATAATGATGCTAACTACCTGTCTCACTAAACTTAGCAAAGTAGAAACAAGTATATGAGTAACAATAGCTTTACTATGGACTACTTGCTTATTAGAAGCTTTTGAACATATACTTATCACTTACCCAACATGTATACATATTATAATATAAGTGATATGAGACTAAATGGATTGGCATAGCTCTGATTGAGATATGAATAAAGTGGTGATATCTGTAAAGGCATTGATTTCTTGTCTTCCTTCTTAAAACAATGACTTGCAAACACAATTCACTTACCTGCCCTTGAAGAACATGGCTTTGCGAGAATTTAATGATTATCAATGAACTTTAAGCTGTGATTATTTATGTTGCTGCTTTTCTTTAAAACTTCCAGATACAATAAAATATCTTCGCAGGCACATTTGTATCAGCTTGTACATGAAAATTACCTTTCATATCTCCGAGAACTGTGGCAATGTCCTTCAATATTATGACTTTCCCATTTGTAGCCTAAAATATAGTACCAGGAAATGTATGATATATTATTGGAAATTGTGTAAAATTTAAGTTACAATCTTTAGTGTTCCTTAGAACCATGCCTTATTCATTCACCTCATTCTTCTTCATTTCAATTAAAATTACAGAAGAGCACTGATAACCAAGGAACAGTTGTTTTCTTATTTTAAAACATGAAGGAAAATTTGCAGTATTACCTATAGCAGCGAGGTTCATGTAGGTCTCCAGCATCACATCTTTGTAGAGATTCTTCTGGGAAGGATCCAGCAAAGCCCATTCTTCCCCAGTGAAGTCAACATGCACGTCATCATAAGTCACTGTATCCTAAAATATGCCATACATGTATACAATAAAAAACATGATACTGACAACGTTGTAAATGTATATTTCTTTGACAATATAGTCATATAATTCTGGTGTTTCCAACACTTACTCTTTGATACAGACATTATAATATAATCATCAAGTCACTTTAGAAGGAAAATGGATAGGTTTACCCTTATCATTTCTTAATGCTTAGAATGGGATATCACTTTGCAAAAGACATACCTATTAACAGACATAGAGAAACAAGCAAGCAGATCAACAGTACTGAGTATACCCCAGAGAAAGTGTACTAACAATTACTAACAACAACAACAACAAAAAGAACAATACCATTAATTCCAGCACTCAGAAGGCAGAGGCAGGTGTATCTGCCTCTTGAGTTTAATGGTAGCCTATGAAATCAGTTCCAGGACAGCAAGAAGTAAATATTAAGAACTACTCTCCCCTGCAAAAATAAATCAAGAAAGATAAAAAGAACTCAGGGTTTTTACTGAAGCGCCTACACAGAGTTCTGCATTCACTCCAGTTCTGTTTTTATCTTTCAGAAATCTGAAGTGTTCCAGTTCACACTATAACTTTAGTAAATCTTACTAGTAGGGACTGCATAAACAGTTACAAATTGACAGATTAAAGACATGAGTGATGTAAATGTTGATCATAGATAATCAACATAGGCCAGGAGAAACAGCTCAGCAGGTAAGAGCTTTTGCTGATCTTGCATATAGGTGGGCTCAATTGCCAGAACTTACATGGGCGATCACAATTATCCATTATTTCAAGTTCAGGGAATCTAAGACCATTTTTTGACTACTGTGAGGATCAGTCACACATGTGGCACATAAGCATGTGTACAGGCCAAAGAATCATATTCATTTAAAAAAATTAAACACAACAAGCAGAAAGAATGTCAAACACCAGTAACCCAATGACTCAGAAGGCCCAGGCAATATTAATGTCATGAATACTGCCATTCTGGGGAAGAGAATGATACCCTCTGCCAAATTTCAAAATTCAAGTCTTGAAAAAAAACACAAATAAGAGAACATGCTTGACATGTACAAAAACCTACACTCTAGGCCCATCACCCAATACTTTATATAAAACAAAGAATATAAGCTGGGCAGTGGTGGTACACGTCTTTAATCCCACACTCAGGAGGCAGAGCCAGGTGGATCTCTGTGAGTTCGAGGCCAGTCTGGTCTACAAGAGCTAGTCCCAGGACAGTCTCCAAAGTTACAGAAAAACCCTGTCTCAAAATCTCCCACCCCCAAAAAAACAAACAAGGAATATTGGCCAACTTTTAATCTCAGTATTTAGAGCAAGAATAAGATTGAGACCAGCCTGGTCTATAGAGCAACTTTCATTAGAGCCAGGGCTACTCAGACATACCTTGTCTTCAGAAACAAAAATAAAAACAACAAAATTCTTTAAAAAATCAGGTGGGGACTGGAGAGATGGCTCAGAGGTTAAGAGCATTGCTTGCTCTTCCAAAGGTCCTGAGTTCAATTCCCAGCAACCACATGGTGGCTCACAACCATTTGTAATGGGGTCTGGTGCCCTCTTCTGGCCTGAAGGCATACACACAGAATATTGTATGCATAATAAATAAATATAAAAAAAATCAGGTGGTCTGAAGGTGGGTAACAGTCATATGGCTAGGTCAGACTGTGTGGCTGCTGGCAGTGAGCCCAGAATTTATCCCAACTGCTTGTACTGGCTTTGTGGAACCCATTCTCTTAGAAGTGATACCTTGTTCAGCCTACATATAGTGGGGAGAGCCTCAAAACAATGTGCCTTACCCTCTCTGAGGAGTGGATGGAAGGGTAAAGCGGAGAAGGTGGAGGGAGCAGAAGAAGGGGAAGGAGTGGGAATTGGGATTAGCATATAAAATGAGAAAAGATTGTTTCTTTTAAAAAAATAAATAAAATAAGGAAAGCAAAAGGGCTTACCACTGAATAGCAATTGCTTCAACTGTATCTAATGTGATGTAGTGATATCATACAGTAGTGATACTGTGACAGCAAAAGGAAGCTAGCTGATTAGTCTGAACCCCACCACAGTAGAAACAAAGAACAGGAAATGGGTTAAGGATGTAGACACTCAAATCCTATCACCATTGAGGAATTTCACTCAGAAAAGTTCTTCCTACTAAAGGTTCCACAAGCACCCCAAAGAAAGTCATCAAGGAGAGACACATGTTCAAATACATTACCCTATCTGAGAGCTTTTCACTCAGTTTAGATTCAGACACAGGTCAATATAGGGTCAGGGTCATCCATGAAGAAAATGCATTTAGTCACTTCAATGATCCTTGTAATCTGCAACCACCTATGCACTGTTCAAATGTCCAGAGTCTCTTTTGACATTCAAGACATTCTCTTGACTGTAATCTTGTAAAATCAGAAGGTAAGTTAAATGTTTCCAACATCCAATGGCACAGAATACCAATTCCTGTTCCAAAGGAAAGGAACTGAGACATCATGAGTGAAGATTGGGCATGAGGGAAAACAGAAACCCAGAAGGACAACCATTAAATCCGGTAGTAGCTCTGTATCAGACATGTGGAACTTCAGTTTCAAAGGGCTTAGATGCCTCTATGATCACAACTATTCATACAACTCTCTTTGGTTACTTCCACTCCATATATATAGTTCTTCAAGTAAAATGTCTCATAGCTTAAATATCTCAACATCTTATGGGCTCAAAATACAGGCTTCATCCACACAGCCTCATGCAATAAACTCTCACAGCCTCCTCACTGGAGCTCTGGCTCTACCAAACACAGATGCCTACTAAATAAACTACTGCTGAACTAAATCACCAGACTAAGAATGCATGGCTTTAAAGTTTGCACCTTTCTTCTTTCTAGAACCAGAACAATATTAATGATTCTCCAAAATTCAGTTTCTAAGTTATGATGGACCCTGATAGGACTAGAGTTGCAGCAGGCTTTGTAAGAAGTTGCTTCCTGGGACTAGGAATTACTTTGCTAGACCTTCCATTGACTAAGAGCATAGAAGGATGGGTTCTCACCCTTAAGACACCTTGCCAGGCTTCCAATGTAGAGGAAGAGCCTTCTATTTAATGGTGATAATCTCACTGAAAATTCCTGCCTATACTTGGCACGTGACTGCCATCTGAATCCACCTAATTCTGCTTTTCTCTACAACCCACAGACTTTTCGTTAATTTATGACCCACTTGTGCTTTTTTTAAAATATTGTAATCATGAATGACTCATCAGTAATAGTCACCCAAGAGAGTCAATATTTCATCTAGAAAAACAGCCCATTATTTTCTAATTTTGCCTTACTGAATTTTTGGGAGGCAAAGGAACAATAATAAAGGCTAGGGGCCAAAATATCACACAAATGACCTCTAGAGGTATTTATCACGGAGTCTATTTGCCACTGAAATTCTATGATCTGGACTTTCACTTACTGTCATTATGCTCAACACTTCCATCTTCCAGGTCCTTCAAGCGCAGGTGATTAAGGTATGTGTAGAGCTTTTTATGGGTTTTGCCATTCAAAGTCCCGATATAGTCCATTCTTTGAAAAGATAACGTTCCTAGGTTCTACCCAACAACAAAATCACTTTTGGTGTGCCAGTTTTGGTCTAACTTGTTTCTCTGTTGTTGTGATTAAATTATCTAACCACATCATCTCAGGTGATGAATGGGTTTATTTGCTTGATTCTGGCAGATCACAATCCATCATTGTAAGGGCTTAGGATAAAAATTCAAGATAACAACTGAAGGCAAAAACCACGAGGAATCTTTTTTTTTTTAAGAACATTTTTCTTTTATTGAAAATAGATTTTTCTTTTTCCTCTTCCCCTATTCATGAAGAATCTTTATTCCTAGCCTTCTCTCTTACTTGGTCATTGTTTTATGCTCAGCTAGCTCTCTTATCCAGCCCAGACCAACTTTCTTAGGAATACTGCACCCTCAGTGGAAGGACGTTCACACATCAATTGTCAATCAACAAACTCTTTCAAAGAAATAGCAACCAGCCAATCTGAAGGGTGTACATCTTCAATTGATGTTCCCACAGATAACTGTAGGCTCTCACATGTTAACAGCTAGAGGTAACAAGACAGAGACAATGATATATGAGAAGGTTTTAAAACCCCAAAACCAAGGTATCAACCACATCAATATCTTAAATAGTAAAATCAGAAACTTGATGATAGTAATGACTAGAAAAAACAGAAATGCCAAGAAAGGAGAGGGAACAAGCCTCTAAGATCAAGAAGAGACAGCTAAAACTGTTTCTCCACAGAAAGTCTCCAAACCAACAAACACAAAGAACGCACAACATAATGAAACAATATTTCAGAAAATAAAAATAGGTGAAGGTCCATCATTTTCCAGAGAAACAATATTATCAGATTATAGCCACCAAAAAGAAAATTTACAGAACATAGAAGGTAGCACTGATAAAAGAAAACACAAAGACAAACCTACAAATTTAACATGGTCCCTTAAACAAGAACTACAAAATTGTAACCAAAATCAAAGAAGTCACTGATGACCACTTACCCTGTGTATTATAAAAGGTTGCTTGTTTGTTTCCTGACCGACTAGCAGCTCAAACCCAAAATAATCACACAGAAACTATATTATTTTAAACCCTGCTTGGCCAGTGACTCTAGCGTATTTCTGGCTAACTCATCTTAAATCAACCCATCTCTATTTGTCTGTGTATTACCATGAGGCTGTGGCTTACCGGGTAGAGACTGGCGTCTGTCTCTAGCAGGACTACATGGCTTCTCTCTAACCCTGCCTTCTTTCCTCCAGCATTCAGTTTAGTTTTCCCTGCATAGCTCTATTCTGCCCTGCTATAGGCCTACAAAGAAGTTTCTTTATTAACTGATGGTATTCACAGCATAGAGAGGAGCATCCTACATCACCTCCCCTTTTCTGTTTTTTTTTTTTTTTTAAAAAGACATTTTACAACACATGTGCACTAGAGTTCTCTCCTTTTCAAATAATAG